TCCTCCTCCTCTTCTTCTTCTTCTTCTTCTTCTTCTTCTTCTTCTTCTTCTTCTTCTTCTTCTTCTTCTTCTTCTTCTTCTTCTTCTTCTTCTATCTTCTTCTTCTTCTTCTATCTTCTTCTTTTTCTTCCCCTTCCTCTTCTTCTTTTCTCTTTCTTCCTTCCTTCCTTCCTTCCTTCCTTCCTTCCTTCCTTCCTTCCTTCCTTTTCTTTCTTTCTTCCTTTCATTGTTGTTGTAGCCATGGGTACCTGAAGGCTTTCATTAACCTTTACAGTAAGATCTGGAGGTACTAAGCAGTTCCTCCAACAGTGAAGTCCTAAGTCATTCTTGGCTTCACCGTAGCAACCATATTCCCCTGGGAACCGAGTTTTCTTCTTGGTAATTGGCATCATTCACTTCAACCAGTAGATTCATCTCCTCCTGCTCCTCTTTTTCTTCCTCCTAGTCCTTTTCCTCTTCTTTTTCCTCCTTTTTTTCTTTTCGTTCAGGGCCATGAGGATCCCAAAGTGGTCAGAAGGCAATCTACCTTCCAACTCAGTGGTCTGCTGGTGGAAACCCTCTCTCATGAGTACTAACAACTCCAAGCCAGCAGAGCTCAGCGTGGTCAGCATAGAAGGCAGAAATCCTGTGGCTGAGTTATTAGCAACAATAGAGCAAACAGTCCTACCTCCGCCCCTTGTTTCCTTGGGTCTCTGTGTTCTCACTGGGTGGGAGACAGCACCAGATAATGGTCTCTTGATTCAAAGCGTATGCTCCTCTCTGCAAGACATAACCCCTCTTCTCAACATGAGGTTGAAAAGTACAAGTACTGTGCCCAATTTGCACAGTAAGATATCCAACCGCCAGCTAGATCTGTCTCCATAGGGTGAGCACCTGGTAAGAAAAGTCTTTTACTTGCAAAGAGCTCATGGCCACCCTTCCTTTGCTGGGCAGTGAGCTCTTGGTGAGACCCAGTGTGCAGAATGTCCAGAAGGGTGTCAGGTTTTGGGAGTCCACAGATGATGGTGCCCACAGAGCTCTGTGAGGAGAGAAGGGAGCTACACACTGGGTGTGACGAGTGTTTATCTTTTAAAAAGTGTGTTACAGTAAAAGGCACATTGCCATTAATTCATTGCAAGATGCTCTCCCCTCAATTCAAATGCACTTGTCCCATCATTCTTACCATTTTCTGCAGCAGTTCTGGAAGTCTACTTTTGTGAGTGTCTTTAGTTGTGGTGTTATGGCTGCCTCCATATCCCTAATCAGTTCAAAACATTGACCTTTTATAATCCTTTTGCCTTTAGGGGAATTTCATGGTGCCCAATCCAGTGGCTATGGTGGATGAGGACACACCATCATGTTGTTTTGAGCCTGCCTCTTCGTTGGATGGTACTCGGCATTCACCACATTTGTAATCACACCA